TTCACACTTTGTCTTCTTTAAATGATTTTGTCTTCTCTGTTTCTTTCTTTTTTTTTGCAATGTAATAATCTTTTATCAACCACTGCAACTGGTAGCAATTTCATTACAGATGAGGTATTTTGCAGCATAATAACAAGCTCTGCTGTCATTCAGTCCTTCTAAGCACAATGATAACATTTATATAACTTTGAAAAAGTGTTTTCTTCAAACGCTGCTACTTTCTTTATCACTGACTTCAATAAAAACTTTTAAACATCAAGTTGCAACCTATACATAACCTATATTTCAGGAGCTCTCCCCTCTGCTTCATATCAGTACAAGCATGAGAAAGACACCTGTCTGTCTGTGCTAGCCCTCCTGATTTCCAATCACTAGGAGCATTCATGCTGTAAAAGAGGAGGGCTTTGAACTCTGTTCTTACAGATTTTATGGGATTTGATGTTTTTGTTGATTTGATGTGACTCAGAGATCTTGATGGATATGATATGTTTGAATTAAAATATTACAGTAGTTGGGTCATGGGGGACCTCTCTGTTGCAGCAGGAAGGGAGATGGATTTTCAGATTTTTAACAGTTGAAAACATTAACTTTAATTGCCATTTTTTTCCTCAGTGAAACTCATATTGACAGATTTTTAAATCTTTAACCTGAGTGTTGGCCTCTCCACTGGCCAAAAGACTGTCAGCAGCGTACAGTATAAGAGCGCCTATAAATTGTTCTGTCTGGGTGCATTTTGAACCTGCAAACAATTTTACATCTTCATTGTGAATAACAAGCTACCGAATCTAGCATGGATATTCTCTAGAGTGCCCCAAATTTCCTTGGGAAGGACATCCCCATACTCTACTTTCAATACGTGTGCCTTACGGCCTCTTAAGCCGAAAACATACAGGATCCGGATTGAGCGAGTACCGTATTTGCTCTGTAGAGCAGCATTGGGTACCACATATGCGATGCGTATATGGAGCGTGGCAGCAGCACAGTGCTGTTACCTTCAAACAGAGTTGGCAGTTAAAAGTCCTGTTGGGGTCCACATGGATCAGGGATTGACCATCGGATTGTTCTGTATTACTGATAAATCCATAGCCAGGAAGTATTTCTCATCTACACAAACTGATACACAGTCGGAAGTTTGCTCATGGTGTTTTATTTTGAAATACCGGATGACGTGTGGTTTTCGTGCTTGACTTGCTGTCTAGAACAATCCTCTCTGGACTGACGTGCACTGGAAGCGTAGAGCAGCAAAATTGGACTTGTCACGTATCTTTAGAAGTGTTGCACTTGATACGATGCTGGGATGGAGCTGATACTTGTATGCTTTCCTGCATTGATTAGAATGGCAACCTATTTGCTGCGTGATACGCAACGCAGCTGCCACGCTCCAAAAACACATCCTGTATGTGTTAGCCTTGACATGCTGCAGTCCTGCAACAGTGCTTAAACAGTGTTTGCCCGTTATTGCACATTTGTACTTGCACACTGCACTGAGAAACTGTGTAATTTTAGTGTCCCAGCCTGAGATTACGCATTGTGTTACATCATTATGGGACCATGAGAGGCTCTACATACAAACTCAGACATGTGTGGACACACAGCATTGTTCCACGCTGCTGGCACTAATACGGCACATCATCACTCCTCGCCCCTCTCTGTTACTTCCTTGGTGGCAGCCGTAACGGGACCATAAAAACCCTGCCTTCAAATGCTGGTATTTGGGACTACCTAGAGTCATGGTGGCCCACATGAACATTTAACAACAACAATGTTATTAAGAGGTTTAAACGTGGACTACATTTCCAGAACTTGGACGGGCCACTTAAACAGGAGGTGTAAGCCCCGGATCCCTTGTGGGCTCCTTTTTCCTGACTGCATCATGTTTGTGGAAAGCCCTGTTTGAATGATGTCCTGTCTTTCATCCAGACCGGGGCTCTGTGCAGAAGTGCTCCTGTGCTCAGTGAGTTTATAGCCTATGGGGCAAAACAAAGCTAAATCCATACACGCATCTGAAGCGAACAGTGAGTGTTTTGAGTTTCCTGATTTCAATCGATAAAGTCAGCCTTGGTTCATTTTAATCATTCATAGTCTAATCTTGAATGTAATAGTGGCTTCAGGGCGTGATAAGCCGAGCACCTGGTCTATAAATGATGGCGCGGCATTAGCTGTAGGCTGCAGAGTGACAGGGAATCAATACTGAGGCCTCTTGTTTCAAATTCAAAGGAATATTTACCTGTATCACTTTAAATTAATGAGAGTGGAAACACTTCTTCAATGATTTATGAAATTCAATCCCAATGATATTTGTCCATCTGTTATAATTACGCCTGTGGTATTGACCACCAGTATCATGTCCTCTCTTTGTTCCCTTTTCAACTTTATTTTTCTGTTTCTTCATTCATGGATCGACTGAAGCCTCTCTCCACTCTGCAGACTGTTCAGTCATGTTACAGAGGAACCCCCTGCAGAGTAGATCAGTGCAACTGAAGCTGAGACCTTGGAATAATCCTGTAACTAGTCCCTTCTCTGCCTCCCTCTGCTGTAATGTATAGTGCATGTGGAGGGGAAAAAAATGAAAGAACCTCCATGTATTATGGAACAAAGCTAGCAGCTGTAGTGGATGGGGTACAGTAGATATCCAGGGCATATGTGTGTGAGCATGTGCAGTTGTGTGTTTCAAATAAACAAGTTATCTTGGTAACATGATGCGAACAACACGGCCTAAAAATAAGTGGATCCATTTTGGTGTTAATGTTACAACTCCAGATTTAAAATGAAATGTGGTCCTCTGTGGATTTTCACTCAGGGATCAGGACAAATACCCGAGTATTCGAATTCTTGTTTTACCGTCATTACTGGAGCATTGTAACTCTATTTGTACATGCGTGTTCTTAATTAAAGTACCCCAGCTCCGGTTTTGGTTTGAGCCCTCTTTTTGTACCTGTGTGTAGAAATTCATTAATTTTGTCATGTGACATGTGAGTCTTTGAATCATAGACTGTATATACTATGCACAACTTGGTTCCCCCTTCCGCCAGTATAGTGATTTGACGCCGAAAAGCTCTTGGTATTTCTGCGTTTTTTCTCCATTTCCTGAAACTAACATTGCGCAGTAGCGTTGTATGCACTCCACCACTGGTGCAGTAGCATTGTGCGCATTAGTCGGGAGAGTCCCTGAGAGTCGCTGTGATGATGCCCGGCTCGAGCTACGCAATCCTTGTACGCCCATAGGCTGTATCAAGTGTCAATCATGGAGAACATGAACCCCCTAATAACTTTTAAAAACTGAGCAGTACAGAAAAAAAGAGGACTTGAGCACAAACCAGTCTTACCGTAACTACACTCACCGGCCACTTTATTAGGTACACCATGCTAGTAACGGGTTGGACCCCCTTTTGCCTTCAGAACTGCCTCAATTCTTCGTGGCATAGATTCAACAAGGTGCTGGAAGCATTCCTCAGAGAGCTTGGTCCATATTGACATGATGGCATCACACAGTTGCCGCAGATTTGTCGGCTGCACATCCATGATGCGAATCTCCCGTTCCACCACATCCCAAAGATGCTCTATTGGATTGAGATCTGGTGACTGTGGAGGCCATTTGAGTACAGTGAACTCATTGTCATGTTCAAGAAACCAGTCTGAGATGATTCCAGCTTTATGACATGGCGCATTATCCTGCTGAAAGTAGCCATCAGAAGTTGGGTACATTGTGGTCATAAAGGGATGGACATGGTCAGCAACAATACTCAGGTAGGCTGTGGCGTTGCAACGATGCTCAATTGGTACCAAGGGGCCCAAAGAGTGCCAAGAAAATATTCCCCACACCATGACACCACCACCACCAGCCTGAACCGTTGATACAAGGCAGGATGGATCCATGCTTTCATGTTGTTGACGCCAAATTCTGACCCTACCATCCGAATGTCGCAGCAGAAATCGAGACTCATCAGACCAGGCAACATTTTTCCAATCTTCTATTGTCCAATTTCGATGAGCTTGTGCAAATTGTAGCCTCAGTTTTCTGTTCTTAGCTGAAAGGAGTGGCACCCGGTGTGGTCTTCTGCTGCTGTAGCCCATCTGCCTCAAAGTTCGACGTACTGTGCATTCAGAGATGCTCTTCTGCCTACCTTGGTTGTAACGGGTGGTTATTTGAGTCACTGTTGCCTTTCTATCAGCTCGAACCAGTCTGGCCATTCTCCTCTGACCTCTGGCATCAACAAGGCATTTCCGCCCACAGAACTGCCGCTCACTGGATATTTTTTCTTTTTCGGACCATTCTCTGTAAACCCTAGAGATGGTTGTGCGTGAAAATCCCAGTAGATCAGCAGTTTCTGAAATACTCAGACCAGCCCTTCTGGCACCAACAACCATGCCACGTTCAAAGTCACTCAAATCACCTTTCTTCCCCATACTGATGCTCGGTTTGAACTGCAGGAGATTGTCTTGACCATGTCTACATGCCTAAATGCACTAAGTTGCCGCCATGTGATTGGCTGATTAGAAATTAAGTGTTAACGAGCAGTTGGACAGGTATACCTAATAAAGTGGCCGGTGAGTGTACTTGTCAACATCACAAGCTGGGGGGGAATAAAAAATAATGTTCTGTGTAATTAATTTCTAAAGTTTGTCCACAGCTCCACAAGCTTTGCTGGTGGAGGTGGGATTTATTACCTACAGTATCCTGCAGCCAGCTGCCAGAGTGTGCTGTTCTTGGAGTGGCTTCACCTTGTGAGGAGGCAGACACTGTCCATTCTATATACAGTCTATGCTTTGAACTACTAAATTGTCTGATTCTTAAACACTGAGACACACAGTAATGATTATAGAAAGTGGGAAAGAGGCAACCATTAAGATCACTATCAATGCTCAGATTTGAAATATTATGAAATTCAAATGGGACTGTGGATTAACATTTACATCCCAGCCTTGTAGTCCCTATGTAACCAGTCATGAAGCACTGAAATGTAAACAGTTCATAAGATTTTGATGTTGCAGAAGCAGGTTCATGTTTTTAGCCCCCTCCTCCTGCCTCCCCAGCCCTTCACAGTGACTCCTTCACAGATCATGTTGTGACTGTGGATATGTTTTATTGCCACAGGGAAATCGTCTACTCTACTAAAACCAGCACAGACAGAGCCCTGGCCTCCTTCACCCAGCGGGTCCTGTTGTTTGTATGTGGCCTCGAACTGTGGTGGCTCTGTTTGTATGAGGAGCAGCTCTTCAAGGTGATGTAATATCCTCTTGCTTCTTTCCTTTGTGTTGTCTGTCCTCTGCTGCTGATGCTCTTTGTCCCCTTCACTTTTGGACTCTCCTCTGAAGGGTCGGGTATAGAGGTTGTCCGCCTCTTTGTGGCCTCCTCGTCCTCTTTGTCTTCTGGGTTTTTTCTCTGTCTGACCCCAGTGCTTGCAGACCCAGGCTCAGAGACCCTTGCATCTCTGGACTTTGTGCTCCAGCTGCTTTTGCTGCTATTTTTATGTGCCTCTGTGCTGCAATCAAATGATGAACATCGAGGTCTCTTTGTAAACATACAATTAGAAATATGAACAAGCGGATACCCCTCCAACTACGGACTTGCCCACTACATATAAAAATAATTGCCATGCCATAGTTGAGGAAAAAAAGCCCTACTTGAAAGCAGTTCTTCAAAACCCTCTAAAAATCTGTTTACGAGTGGACAGCTCTGAGAAAAAATCTGGGTTTTCATAAATTTCTGCATACATATGTGGCATAAAAGCTAATAATGTTATTGAGAATGTCTGCTTTGGTCCACATGAAAGGGCATTGGTCTAGTTTCCTTTAAAATTTATAATAAACACTGTGCCAGTTTTGATTGTATGATTATTTATAGGCTAAAAACAATCTTAAAGTAAATCCCTTTGCAACCCAGGTAAAGGCAGCAGAGCTGGTGAAGCATCTTGAACAGTTATGGACCATAACAAAAAAAAAAGTCACTGGGCCACTGTGAAAAAAGGTCTGATACAATTTTTTTTAATTGCTATTCTGAGAAAAAAGGTCAGAATTCTGACTTTAATCTCAGAATAATAATAAAAATATATATAGGACCTTTTTTTCCCACAGTGGCCCTAATCCTTTTCCGTAAATAACAGTTTCTGAAGTAATGCGTTTATTATTTATTTCTAAAAGAGTGTCAACTGCAAAGTTTTGAGAAGAAGGACAGCTCGATGTGGGTTATACCCTGGCAGTGCACCTATGCAACCAGTGGGATAATTTTTTTTTGTGGTGAAAAGTCTGGTGAGACCCCCCCACCATCGGCATTCTGGTTTACAGAACCACCCATTCACCATGAGCTGACCTTTTCTCAGGTATGGGCAAGCAGACTCTAAAATGCATAGTTTCTCTGCAATTGTGTTCTGCCCATAGACTGTATATACTATGGACAACTTGGTTCAGCCTTCTGCCCATATACAGATTTGAAGCCAAAAAGCTCTCAGTAATTTCTGCGTTTTCTCTCCATTTCCTGAAACCAACATTACCAACAACCCCTAATAACTTTTAACAACAGAGCTGTACAGAAAAAAGAGGACTTGAGAACAAACCAGTCTTGCAGTAACTACATGTCAACATCACATGCAGGGGTGAGAAAAATGTATATTCTGTGTAATTAATGTCTAAAGTTTGTCTACAGCCCCATAAGTTTTGCTGGTGGAGGGTGCTGTTCTTGGAGTGGCTTCATCCAGCAAGGAGGCAGGTGGTGTCCATTCTACATAAAGTCTATAGTTCTGCCTTAATTGCGCCCAGTAGCTGATGTAAGTGACCGAGATGAGGTTATAGGCTCAAACTGCCCATCGCTGATCAATAAAAAATGCCCAGATGGGCTACGAAAGTTAGGATTGAGCCATCCATCATACTGCTTTTTAAACTCTATTTATCTATCTATTCATTTCAGTGCTTAATGAAAGAAAAACAGTAAATTTTAATTAGGGGGTGTCCCGATAAGATATTGATATTGGATATTGGTCTGATATCAACAAAAAATCAAATATGGAATTTTATCAGCCTGCATCTAAAATCTCCTATATCAGCACCCTGACACAAGCAGTCCACCAGACTCTGCTCCAGCACCTCGATCTGGCAGCGCATGGATCCAGCATGTAGAGCCCATGTGGTCACAACAACAGTGTGTATTAAGGAACTAACGAAGTACCAAGGAGAAGGAGTGATGTTGGCCCTGTGGCAGTATTTTTCTTTGAAGTCAGAAAAAGACATTGCAGCTGAGTGCAAAACTTATCATGCACAAGTTTGTGCTAATATTGAATCAATATTGGTGTCGGACAATACTGAAAGCTACAATATCAATATCGTATCAGTGGTATAAAAGTTGTATCGGGACACACCTAATTTTATTGCTCTGTAACTAAAATATGGTGGCTCTGAAGGTCAACGGGACAAATATGACAGGAAGGGGACAAAATAATTTTCTCAAAGCATGTGTCCATGTGAAATATTTCTCTGGATAGGATAAAACAAACTTAATAATATTAAAACAATAATGTAGAGATGCACCGATTAATCGGCTGCCGATTTAAAAAGCCGGTTTTATATCCAACCGGCCCCAAACGGTGACCGGCCGGTCACTGTCGTAATTTGCCGGTTTTCGCCGAGCAAACTGACCCGCATGCGCGGTGTGTATCAGCTCCGAGCAAAACTGCTAAAAATTAGCAAGACTCAGGAGGAAAACATGTCGATGATTTGACACTGTGTGCCAGAGCGACCCAAAACACGCTGTTTGTAATGCTTGCAAGTCAAAAGTCAGCTGTGGAGGATCAACGCCTAAGACATTTGGAACAACAAACTTAATACGCCACTTGGAAAAGAAGCACCCAGGCTCGTTTAGCACATATAAGGAATACACTGCCGCTAAGAGGAGGGATGCAGCAGAGTCGCAGCGACCACAACCACCCTCCGCCGTGGCTCCTATGTTCGACATGAGCACTGAAAAGTCCAGAGCCACCACCAGGAAAATAATGGAGTTCGTGGCACTGGAGGACCAGCCGTTTAGTGTAGTGCAGGATAAAGGCTTCGTAAATCTGACGAAACACCTGAGTCCACGGTACAAATTACCAAGTAGGGTGTTTCATCAGATTTACAAAGCCTTTATCCTGTACTACGCTAAATGGCTGGTTCTCCAGTGCCAAGAACTCCATTATTTTCCTGGTGGTGGCTTTGGACTTTTCAGTGCTGATGTCGAACATAGGAGCCACGGCGGAGGGTTGTTGTGGTCGCTGCGACTCTGCTGCATCCCTCCTCTTAGCGGCAGTGTATTCCTTATATTTGCTAAACCAGCCTGGGTGCTTCTTTTCCAAGTGGCGTATTAAGTTTGTTGTTCCAAATGTCTTAGGCGTTGATTGGTACAAACTACCAAGTAGGCGGTACTTTTCTGACACAGCGCTGCCAGAGTCGTTTGAGAGAGGTACTGGAGGGGTAGTCAATAAATTACATTGTACCAGGCAAATGCTGGGACGTTTTTGAATGTTGTTTGAATGTAAGTTAGTTATTGATCTGTAAACTGGACTGAATGTTATGGTCAGTGTAGAAAATAAATCTGCTCAGGAGGCGCTGTTGAAACTCTCACTCTATTTCTTATTTGTGAGGTTTTATTCTTGAAAAGGGGGGTTATGATAGCATATAGCCTACCATTAGTTGTGCTTTTAATTGCAGTTAAGCAAAATGTTGTCTGGGAGAGGGGTACTTAAATTAAAATTGGGAAAGGGTACTCAAGCCAAACAAATATGGTGTCTATTATATGATTATAATTATTTCTTAGATAGAAAATCGGTATCGGAAAAACTGGTTTTGGCAGGTCGGACCTCCTTTAAAACCGGAAATCGGTATCGGCCAAGAATATTGCAATCGGTGCATCTCTACAATAATGCGTAACTGTTTTTTTCTTTAACACACTTTAAGACCAGTTAATATACGTGCTGCAAATATAAATCAAAAATGTATTTGCAAATCTCGAAAAACTTTAATTAGCTTACTACCACATGTGTTTCAGGTAAAACAGACCTGATAAGAAAAATGAACACTGAATGCAAAATAAATCAGAGTGAGATCCATCCTGAAACGCAGCTGATAATGGACTCAGAGAGATGAGGAAGATCTCGGGAAGATCACAAGTTCAGAAATTCAATTCAGCAGCCTGTGAAATAAAGACGTTCTTAAGCAGTCTGATCTCAGCATCAGAGAGATTTGTCTGAAAATGAATACACTCTAATGTGGTTGATGAAATTATCACTGCGTCCTGTTAGGATTCAACCCAGGGTGTTGCACTGCTTCAGGTAATTCAGAATTTGCATAGGTCAAATCCTGAATTAAGCAAATCCATCCTCACAGCTGTAATGACACAAATTTTTATTTCCCTCATAGCACATAAAAAGGAGAAATTGGATACGTTCTGGAGACATCCAGGACATTGCCAAGTACCTCTTTTCACTCCCCGACACGAGGCGATGAGCAATTACAAAGATGTTTATCACTTATCGTTTATCACTATATAATTTTTGCCTGCTCTGTTTGGCACTTCCATAATCACATCAAGCCAAGGCTGATCTGTATTCACCCCTTCAGAGCACCTTTCATTCCAGGCGGATTAACATGATGGTGTGTGGCTATTGTAAAGGCCAAGGCTTGAGAAACTTCTGCAATCAAGCTGTCAAACGTTCCCATTTCTGTCGAGCACGGATGCTTTTGTTATTACGTTTGATATTCAGGAGGCACGCGAGGTTAACCTAAGCATTCAAGAGCACTGTCAGTGAGCAACATGTGCGTGGCTGTCATCTCTCCCCCGAGAATAAATGAAGGTTTTTTAAAAAAAAAAAAGAAGAAGCAGATGTTTGCTGGCGATGGATGCGGCCCCTTCTCTTCATGTCCAGTGGGTTGTTGATGGGTCGCTTGTTCGGCTGCAGAAATACAGCACATGGTCATGAGGTTTTGTAACACAGCATGGTGAACAGGTCAAAAGATCTGTTGTGTATAACAGGGACTGTCAGATCTGATACTCCTTGTTGCATTAATTTTTGGTGCATGTGGTACTAATGCATAAAAATGCCTGTAAAACGTTAACGCTTTCAAGCACAATCAAGTTATAGACATATTGTTCTCAGGACAGTTTCAGCTATTAGAGTATGCATGCTGCAATAACTTCAGAGAAGAAATGAATGAACAGATATTTGACCATAAAGACTTTCACAGAATTTTACATTACTCACAGATCAGCAATTGTGAATCAGGTTTCCTCAAGCCTTGACTGTTTCCTCTCCTGTCTCCAAATGCACCACAGGCAGCCACCTTACAAGTTCTCCATGTACACAGTGTCTGTGATAGCATTTCTATGTGTAAAGGTTGTAAATAAACGTTTCCTTCAGAGTCTGGGATGTAATTTTGAGGGTGGCAGATAGCTATCTTGCCACATGTTGATCTTTGGCAGCTCCTGATTGGATGCTGCTGTCAAGAAAACCAGCATAGTAATATTTTTACCATAAAAATCTGAAAATAATCACATTGATTATTTGACCCTCCTTTTGTAGTGCTTGACTGGAAATGTTCATATAGTTCATAAACTGAAGAGGGGAATGAGAAGAAGCTGAATTATGGACATTTCAACAGGTAGAAGTCTTTTTGGTTGAAAAATGATTTAATTATTAAAACATAATGAAGCTAGGATGCATTTTTGGACACATCTTGTGTTATGTAGTTGATAACAAACTGTTCTCACATCAGGTACATGCATCAACATGGCACAGCTGTGTCCTGATTGAGAAAGTAATAAATACTGATGCTTATACCTGCAAGCTATTGCACAGTGTGTGAAAACCTCCAACATCTCACCTCTGACTATTTCACACCTGTAACCACCACCTGGAAAAATACCACTCAGAAGGAGAGAGAGAAAGAAAGAACCATTAGCATAATTCAGCTACCAAACCTATTAAGTATTCATTTTAGGTGTGAGCAAGTTTAGTTTCAGCTGCCATTAAAAAAACATCAGTTCATTTGATTTGATGCTTATTTGCACTTTTAAACAACCGTTAACTTCTCCAATTAACAAAACATCAATTTGAAGTTTTGTCACTCGCATAAACTAAACACCAACACTGTGTCTTTATAGTCCTTATATATTATTATTCTGTCACTCCACGACTTATTAACTCAAAGTCAGTCCATTAACAAGCAGTGAAGGGACATTATTATAGCGTGAGGCATTTGCTCTGCTGACATTTTAAACACACCCAAGTGGGCACACACTGTCATTCAATATGGTAATGATAAGACGTCCTGACTTCACCACAATCAGAGGTGAAGTTCTTTTGTTCTAATGCAGCGACTCTTATACAGAGAACTAAGTGGGAAGTTTTCCTCTTGCCTGCATGATAATTACTTTTCTGAACTAAGTCAAAGTGCCACGTTGAATCAAACCCGGCTTTCAAGTGACAGACAGCGCAGTCGAGAACTGGGCGGACTCTTCAAATCTGAAAACTTTTGTTGGCGGTGTGATTTGATGGCTGCTGGAGTCATTAACAGGCTGGATAATACTGGATTTGGTTATTACTGGTGCACATAATAGCCAGGGTTCTAAATTAACACCCGCTAACCCGCCAAATGCTGCGTAAGGAAGTTTCACACACCCATTGGCTGCGCAAATGCCGGTATTTCCCGCTACAGTTCACACTGCAACCAGTGCTACCAGTGCAACCAGTGCGAGAAATGAACAGAGTGAGAGCAGGGAGTTTGGTAGAAACAGTTGAGCTTAAGTTAAACTGGAGTAAAACTAATCTAAATATGGCGGTGGTTGAACTTGAGATGTTCGAGGTTGGGCAAGAAGAGAAAGGATGGGGTAGATGGGGATATCGGTGAGAGCGTGTGGAAAAAAAAAAATGAAAGTTTAATGTCAAATAGCTGACAGGTTGTGAATGGCTTGTGTTTGATCATGAAAGATCATGAAAGAAACACCATGTTTTGTATTGCTACATTGGCTGGTGATCAAAAAAGTTAATTAAGAACCCTGATCATAACACCTTTGCCATGATTGATTCAACATTCCCACTTCCTTTTTTGTCTGCTTAGACTGAAAAGTCTAGACTCTTGGATGTTGACCTCAGACCACAAAGGGAAAGCACCGTCTGGACTGCAGGGAGAAAACAAAACAACAGCTCAGCTGGTCAGATGACAGAGAAAAATTATGAGATGAACCAGAATTTTGTCTGTCCTCCCAGATCTGAGTAACCAACATAAACTCTTAGCTGTTGAGTTTGAGGTTTCCAGAAACAGCTGGATGTTGAATGTTTCCAGCTGTGTGCTTTTCTTGGTGGTTTGAGCAAGATGGTTTGAGGTATTTTGAGGTAGAGATGATGGTCAGCACCTCTAAGTAGAGAGAGCATGACGTGTTTCAGGTCCTAATAGTAACATTGCAAGTCCTGGGATGTCAGCATTTTGCATAATGCACAGTGCAGTTGCCATGTTGAGCCCTGGTCTGAAGCCCCACTTAAAGTCATGTGTTTTTGGTTGGGATCAGGGAATCAGATCAGGAAAAGATGCGAACAGTAAGTTTCATTCACAGCCTGTAAGATAATGGACAGAGCAAAGGCATGCAGCTGTAGCTTTGAGTTAGGCCACCACTCCTTAGGCTCCAGTTCACTTTGAAAATGCTGAAGCTTCTCTCATGTATCGTCATCGTACATAAAGGACTGTGATTGTGCTGATACATCTGCCACTGATTGGAAAACATATATAGCACTCTATATATAACATATAGAGTGACAATGAACATGAGTTTGCTAATGGACTTGACAATGCCAGGCTAGGTTTTGGTTTCTTATGAGGACGCCTTCTGCACACCTCCTTTGAGAGTTTTCTGGAAGAAGACTGTAGTGGAGAGAGAGAGCTTGCTGGAAGCGATCGTACTTCACCTGGACTTGTAATGCTTCTGGATCCCCAAAGAGGAGCTGGGAATATTTGATGTCTGGGAAGTCTGGGCTGACTTGCTTGGCCTTGCTTATCTTGGACCTGGGTCAGGAGAAATCAGCGCCTCAGATATGAGGAGGCCTCTGCAGATAATTTAGCTCTTCAACCTTAAATTTCAAGCTGTGAAGAAACCCTTCAAGTCCCCTCCTGATATACTGGGTGTGTTTTTTACTATATAAAACCCCATTATTGAGTGTATTGAGTAAAATAATAGTACAAGGATTTTTGCTGTGAATGAGCTGTTTGAGTTGGTCATAGTTTTAAAAGCACATGATTTGTTGTAGGGTTAAGTTGCTCATAAAGAAATCTGTTAATTATCTAAGAAGATAATTTGTGTGAGAACTCAGATAGAGAAACTTGATTACTCTCTGCTCTCTTTCTTTGTCTTTGTGTATTTGGTTCCTCCTCCTCCTCCTCTCACTCCTGACTTTCATTTTTCCCTGGTCTTTTGTAACGGCTATCCTCACCTCAGAGTGCTGCGGCTGCTTTTAATTACAGCATCTGTGTTGACAAGGAGGAACAAAGATGTTATTAATGTGAAGTCCAAAGTGGGGTAGATCCCAGGGCACAAACATCCCTCATGTGTGTTTTTCCTGTAACTAATGTACAGTAGAAACTTGGCTGTGGATCAGTTTGAGACACAGTGACATAATAATGTGCATATGAATGAACCCAGGTCTCCCAGAGCCCTTGTTTCTTGTATGTTGTATATCCCCTGTACCTTGCTTGTGTTTGTTTTGTTGAGAGACTGCTAAAAGAAGATCATTTACTCTGTCTGTGGAAGTTCTGCAGATAATTTGTTCTTTGGGTTTCTGACTGAAGAATTCAGATAATATTTAAGTCATCATTGAGCTGTCAGGTCATCCATAGTAAAAATATTCTTGTGGTTTACCCGGCTGTGTTTTGATTTTTCATGGTGATATGTTTATAATAGTAGATTTGCTTGGTAAGAAAATGAACTGTTTTTGCATTGAGGCTGAGAAAAGCATCTTTAGGAAGAAATAAAATGTCAAGACTCTTAGCAACACGCTGAAGTCTCGGAAGCCAGGTGCATTGTTGTAATCTAACCCTACTTGATTATGCTTTTAAAATATTTATTTATTGGGAAGAAAATCATGTAAAAATGTACTTAATCTATTTTTTAGCAATGCCTGAATGTGTGAAATTTGTGAGGAAGTATTGTTTGTATAAGGAGATAAGGGCTGCCATGATATCAGATTTTCACCTCACAGTTATCATGGCCCTAAGATATCCTGGTAATGATAATATATGACAATATCATGGAAAAGTTGAGAATCACGGCTCAGCTTCGCTCCCGAATGGCAGGTGGATCAAATACGCAAGCATTTTAATCAATGTGTGTAATTCCATAGAATTCGTGTGGCGTCCGGCTCCGCTGCAGATCAGCTCTGGCTCCGGATCAGATATTGCTGCCAGACGTCAAAGTACTGCGCATCACTTGAGTGCAGTGCAGCACAAGCAGCAGTGGAACTTGTATGTGGTTACAGAGTAAAATATCTGGTTGATTTTCAAAATAAAATAAAGTCAATACATTGATCTGTTCTTAGCTTGATAATAAGAGAGGCCAGGGTTGTGGTATGTGGGTGTTTATATACACCGCCATTTATATACACAGATCGGTGGATCTCATTCTATGACTCCTGGGGAAACGTGAGAGCTCGTGAGAAATCGTGAGATCTCGTCCAGACCTGCGAGAATTATCGGTAATCTCGAAACGCTTCTCCTCCGATGGCGGCAGTGCATCTGATCCAGTGGGTGCTGTATGCTTGCGGATCTGATCCATCTGCTGGTCCAGAGCGGAGCAGAGCCGTTCCGTATCCCATGGGATTCCCGGGTCAAACAACACATTCATTCAAACTGAAGAAAGGCAAGACAAAAGTGGAGAGACACATAACTTTACAGTAGTGGTTATCATACAAATCAAAATCAGTATTCATGGTTTTCTTGGCTAGTACTTTGTTTTAAAAAGATTTTTAATGAATTGTATGAACATTATGGGGATATTGGCCTTGAGAGTGCAGATGCCAAGATAATTCTGATTACTAAAAAATTATTTCAATCATCATCTTTACAATTAAAGGTTAAAATTCACGATTTGCCCACATCACCATAAATTATTTTATCCTTTTGATGTTTTTAATATCTTGCACATATGTTGCTTTACTCCCTGCATGGCCAACTACGTATACTTCTTCTGGTAGATCACAAGTTATAAAACTGAGCGACGACAGTTTAATGAGTGGTTAGACAGTTCAAATGTTTAGCTGAATAGTAACCTGAAGATGTAAGAGCTCCATTGTTTTTGGATCGATGTCTGATACTTTCTCTCAGCCTATCCTCTGTTGAAAGACTTGTGGCCTAGTGTCAGGACCACTACAATGAAGTCATGGTATAGCTGTAAGCAAATTTGAAGCTAGATATCAGTATTTCAATTTTCTGAAAAGACGGTTACCATCAAGACTTGTGTAATGCCACAGCCCTCAGAGAAATCACAGATAGTATTTCACTTAGTAAACACACTTTTTTACACATCAGCAAAGAAAAAGAGACTTATAAATACAAAACACACCATTAAAGAGATTTACAGCTGCTCTTTAGTGTGAAATTGTTCAAATGTGATCAATAAGTTGCAATGTGGAGAGGCGTTCAACATGTATGATAAAATGTCATGTGTTTATTTCGCGTTTCATTTTCTAAATAATAGATCCATGATCGAAAAAGCTGTAAACATCCATCACAGATGTCTTTCATGGCCAAGAAACCCTTTTTTTTAAGCATTATTTTTGCATGCTGTAAATCTCGGCCGCTCAGATTTTCATTCAGCTGTCTGCAGGAGGATAAAAGCCTCTTTCTTGCAGCTACAGCACATTTGCCCTTCACAGGAAAAATGCTTTAAAATGAATTTGCCTGTGATAAATCCTGTCCTGTGTTGTCTGTTGCAGAAAAACACAAGGTATTTTCTAAAATTTCATTCTCCAGCTCATGATATCTCAGTCAGCATTACAAACTTCAACCAAAAAGAAACAAGAGGCATGACACTGTAATGATCTGTGTGTGTTTGAGTGTGTGTGTGTGTGTGTGTGTGTGTGTGTGTGTGAGTTTCCTCCACCGTGTCCTTCCCTCCTCTGCCCCCTCCCCTCCTCTCTCTGGTGGATGGTCCTTGTTTAGACTTTGTTATTGTTTCTTTATGTAACGCTGCTGAGCCAGAGAAAGAATGGGCCCGGTGTACACCACAACAATGCTGTGATGGATGAGTGTGGCTGCTCTAATTATATGAGGACCAACAGGTAACCGAGCGCACAGACAGAGAGCGGCGGCCTGCTGGGGGATGATAGTGCAGATCTGTTCGCCTCTGTTTTGTTTCGTTTTGTTCTGCTGCGAGGGCCGGCACGGGCGCCGATACTGTGGCGAACACACATACACAAAAGAAGGCATTGAGAGTTGCTGAGAGTCGCAGCATGCAGACACACACATACACACATTTGCTTGTGTGTCATTGCTAAAGTATACAGCAAAGGACGTGTTTGCACTCTGTTAAACACTTCCTCGTGCAGCTCGCTTTGCATTCTGCTTAGGAAATATTGTTCCTGATAAACAGTCCTGCCAATAAAGTGAGTGAATTGACTGTGAGAACAGAGGAAAGACGCCACTTCAAGGTTTTCCCACTTGAGCGTATTACAGAATTATTGTCGCAGACGATAGCTAACAGAGACAGACAGATTGAGGTCGTTACACAAGAGAGGCAGATGAGAGAGAGAAACAGAAACAAGATGAAAAGGCAATGTGGCGGGGGGTGCATCCCTGCTGTTTCAATGCTGTGTCGCAGTGAGAAAAAAAAAAAGAGGACGACAGGAAGAAGAGAAAGGGGAATCTTGCGAGAGGAAAGAGGGAGTGAAGGGTGGGATTCAGAGGAGTGAGACAAACTGCTTTAAATGTTTGGGACCCAAAAGTTGTAGCGAGAAGACTGGGGCAAACCGAGAAAAAACGGTGTAAGAAAAATGCAGAGGGAAGAGATGTGAAGTGGTTTGTTTATCTTGAAATAAGAGAAGGAAAGATAAAAATTGCTAGTGTCACAGCAAAATGCCCAAGATGAACTCTGCACAGGGAGAACGTCTATGAGTGTTTCTTGTTTTGAATAGAGTTCTGTAGAACTGTGCTGCTCTGTGCTACTGCTGCTGCTGCTTTTTAGTTTTTTCACAAAACACAGAAACATGTAAGGAAAGACCTTTTAACCGGGCCAAGTAATGCTTCTGAAACGATCAGTATCAGCCAACATCTGGGCTCATAAGGCCGATTCAGAAAAGATAAAACGTCTGCAATAACAAGACCATCATGATTGGCACTCACGATTTACACTGTGATCTGCCATTTTTAGATCCAGTGGCTTTTAGATCTGAGGTAAGGAAAGCTCCGGTTTCTCTGTGTCGAGAAATGGAGGAAAAAAAGAGAAAAGGGGCAAATGTAGACAAAGACGCAGTTACTGCCAGATTGTAGCCCACATATTAGAAGATATGAGCAAATATGTGAAGCCACTGGGTAAATTTCCACTCCGAAAAGATTAGAGACAATGCAAGAATAAAAATCCAGCAATGCCAAAAGAGTCTAAGGGAAGTGCTTACTTCCCCCAAACAGTGCGAGAACTCGAGATAGGGTTGGGGGACATAGCCTCAAATCAATATCACAATATATTGAACAAGAATAAATGGACGATAACTACTCTACAAGCTGCTCACTCACTCCCACATTAACTTCATCTACTTCAACCGCTGCTCCAGCCACTACAACTTTTGAACTGTCCTCCATCTCCTCGCCTGTCTTTCCCTCTTTGTTACAGACTGGATGGGGTGGAGTCACGTCTCTGACGAAGGACAGCGTCTTAAAGGGACATGAGACCATAGCCTACCTACACACATCTAAAACAAGCTTTTATTTGTTTGTTGACACAGAATATATTGACATGGGCAAAATGACGTTGGTCATTGTCGCAAATTTTGGTATTAGTAAATTTTCGGTTTATCGCCCAGCCCTAACTGGAGATGTATCACTGACTATAGATCTAGAAAGGATTCAGAACTTTTGAAATATTTTTATTGTAGTAGACACAAAATGAGCTAGAACCTGCCATCCACCTCTAGGGGGTTGTAGTTTTGTGTAAAGGATACTGTCATAATGCTAAAATACTCTACTACCTGGATGTAGTGAGCTTGCATTACTGCTATCACACTGTGCTCTCCTACCGCACCCGAGCTGGCTGTGACCCCAAAGTCATTGAAGTTCAGCTGTTTTTTAGCCCATCCTCCCCCTCCGTGTGTGACTTTGTGGTCCTGCAGAACAAGGTTGTCTCTCTGGTGCGGCACACTTCATCACCATGCATATGTTCATACTAATCTAACGGCCCCATAACAAATGAGCTGATTATCCACACCTTGTCTCTGAATGGGGCTGCAGGGGGGGACTGTGTGTGTGTGTGTGTGTGTGTGTGTGTGTGTGTGTGTGTGTGTGTGTGTGTGTGTGTGTGTGTGTGTGTGTGTGTGTGTGTGTGTGTGTGTGTGTGAGACAGACTAGGCAACGGGAACAGGTGTATAAGGGGGTACCGACACTCCATATATCATACTGTAGCAGGTATACCCCTTCTCTAACCCCCCCAACACCACCACTCACTGGAGAGCAGCATGTACCCAGCAGCACCCCCCTTGAGCATTGGCGTGCACACACACTCACACACATTTAAAAACACATACACACACACAGGAGCAGAAGACAACCCCTGGAGCTCGACCTACATTGTGCGTCCTCCTGCCTCAGATCTGACTATTCATCACCACATGGCACCAGTCCCCCATTGGGAAGAGGTGGCGTTGCTTTTGGGGGAGAGAGAGTGAGGAAGGGAGACAGAGGGGAGAAAGAGCATGGTATGCTACACAGTGTAGGACAGGGCGTCCTTTACACCTCCAGAACAATGGGACCTTCAGCGTTAGTGCTGCAGAGTGAAGCTCCTACTGGAGGAAGATGGGCCCAGTGAGTCGCCATCGTTAAAACAAAGTGGTCCAGAATCCAGTACAGGGATTCAGATTTTAGAAGAGTTTCGTTAATTTTAGTCTTTGTATTTTGAAGGGGTGTTCCGATCTGATATTTATATCGAATATCGGTCCTATATCAGTAAATAAACAAATATCGGAATATATCGGCCTGCATCTAAAATCTCCAATATCAGCTATCCGATATAAGCAGTCTATTCCAGACTTCGCTCCGGCATCGCTAACTAGCAGTGCCTGGATCTAGAATGAGTCCACATAATCACAACAACAGTGTGTACTAAGATACTGACAAAGTAGCAAGGAGTGGGAGTGATGTTTGTGCCAATATCGGTATCGATCAATGTCAGTATTGGCCAATAATGAAGGCTACAATATTGGTATCGTATCGGAAGTCAAAAAAATTTGTATCCTGACACCCCTCGTATTTTGTGTTGTTTTAGTCAAGCTTTAGTCAGAGGTTCTCAGTTTTTATTTTCATCTAATTTTTTTGTCACTTAAAGAATAGTTTTTTATAGAAAGATGTAAAAATCCCAGAGATTGCCTTAATATTATATTCAGTCATCGTAGTTGAAAATGTTTTTCTAACTTTTCATGTCACAGAAAAAACTGAACACCTAAAACTTGTTTAGAAAAGTGCAATAAGTCATTTCAATTGTATGGGGGAACATTTAACTGAACTCTGTTATTGTTTGCTGAATGACTCAGGGTCTGAATATAATGGAATCAGACTTTAGAAGAATGTAGCTCTGTTCAAGTAAAGGATCGGTTAACCAGCGCCGCATGCTGAGCACTATCTGGTATTATGAAGACTTTTGCTAGCTTGTCAAAGAGTGTTACCATAGTGCAAGTCACTAGAGACTTGATTTCTCAGAGAAATCTGAATTTGGTGAACATCAGATTTGTAGATTTATTTTGTATTCCTGTCAGAGGATCAGCCTGCGTCCTTGTTATGTACCTGAGCAGACACTGAAGAGTGCTTTCTTTTCCTAGATCTGTTATTTTTCTGCCAATATGCTCATACAGATGGCACTCTGTTCTAATCAGAACGATACTCTCAGTCTCATCTTTTAAAAGAATGTGTCCACAGCTCGTCTCTTTTCTTCAGACTGCGACTGTAATAAGGCTTTATAGTTTTTAGTGATGCCAGCTGTCTGAATGAGAATTGTTAGCCCTTTGATAGGATCCCTGTTAGCTTGCTAGTTTTGGCTTCTTACCAGAGAGTTACCAGATCTAAAACGTTTTCTGTAAATGCATCACCTTAAAGTAATTGTGGTGCATGCAAAGGTCATGCCCAAATAACAACTCCATATTCAACCCAAGCATACATACATGTGCTTCTGTATACAGTTTTTGTTCAGCACACCAAATGCACACATCAGCATTGCTTGACCAAACACTTTGTACATGTAACAACTGGGCAAGTTTTGTTCATTGGATCCACAAAGAAAGGACAAACTCATATTTTGTCTGTTTTATCAAGAGTGTGATGAGCCACTTGTCCCACAAGATGAGACATCAGATCTGTCTACAGAAACAAACCGTGACACACAGTTGTCTGTCTCTACATTTTAAAGCAGAATTAGGAAAAAACAACTCGTGACTCGTATGTCTTGTTTTGTGCACCTGTTTGTCATGAAATTGTCTTTATATGTATTTTTTTTATGAAAACCCTTTTTTACTTGATTAGTAATAATAAACATCCGCTACCTCCTGCATGCGGCACAAAAGATCTAAAGGGTGATATTTCTTGAGTTTGTCTGATGATGTTCATTAAAGACAGAGAGGTTTACTAATCCTAGCTTTACTCTCTTGCCTTGAATTATCAGATTTTCTCATCATAATGGGTTCACTATCTTTGCCTTTATTACAAATATGTAGGTGTATTTGTGCATGTCCCTCCATGTTTGCCTTGTTGATTATCATCCATAGGTCTGGTTAGAAATCTTTCTAGCTGAAATCATGTCCAGACTGTGGCCTGTAAGTTTACCCAGTATCATAAGCTCTTACTGTGCCCCTCTCTTTTGGCCTCAGTGAATACTTATGGCAACAACAGATTTTTAGTTATCCTTTTAATTCTTCGGATATTTTCTCTCAATGTACATCTCGGAATAGCTGGCCTGAGTCAAATGTGCTGGGACTGTTTCCTCAAACGTTTGCACTGATTATACAGTTTTTTTTTTTTCTGCCTGGTATGTCTCATCAAGTACGATACTAGCTTTTTTTTTAACATCTTACAGCTGCGGTCACTCAGGCTCTGCTGGGCTCAGCAGCAAAGTTAAGGTCTTGTTAGTGCAGAAAAGTTGCATCAAATTTTAATTTATTAACATTTTATTCAAAGTCCCAGGCCTGACATATGTGCTTATATAACAAGGCCCGTGAGACTAATTGGTCTCAGTGTGAAAGTGGTCTGTCCACTCAGCTACCATGAAAAACAGTGATCTCAGGCCGGCATGACTGATTGGGTATTTTTAATGTAAGTGGACGAGGATAAACAACCAGCCCCCCCACCCCCTTAAAAAAAGCATTTTGAAATTTTTTTTTTTTTTTTTTTGTGTGAAACTTGTTTTTTTCAGAGGGATCAGGATCAAGCCGTACTCTGAGGCTGAGTTGTGTTTTTTGGAGATATTGCATCTCTGTAGGACACTGACAATCTGCACCAATCATTTTAGCTCGATTTGTTGGGCACGCTGATTGCACTGGTCTCTGCTGATTGCACTGATTCAAGAGTTTGAAGATGGGGTCGGATAAGCATTCTCTGAGTGAAGGCTGAACTTGCTGTTCTTACAGAAAAAGGAGGTTTTTGTGTAAATCTTTGCTTAAATACTTAGTTATCTCGAGTGGAATATCTTCTACTTTACCAATTAAATGATGATTAAATTACGTTAAAGTAAACTTTGATAAACTATCTTTATGGAAAGACGTTTGTAGCTCTTGAGATTTTAAAGTCTTATTTACTGAAAAGGAATCAGCTGAAAACATCTTCAAGTGTGTGAACTCCAAGGAAATACATAAAACACCTCAGTAAGATTGAAGGATGCCCACTGAAAGTCTTTTTTCTCTCCTAAATAGTCACTTATTTCCTCTGGCACACACACACACATACATGCATGTCCTGGTTCGATGACAAAATTTATGAAGGTTATCTGAGCTAAAACCTGTTGAAGATCTGTCCCCACAATCACAGTCCACTGAAATAGTGCTGGGCGATAGGACGATAGATATCGTGGGCACGATAGAAAATGTCTATCGTGCCATTTTTATTTTTATCGTTTTGGGCGATAGGCTGTATTTTATCCATAGGGCTTGTGCCATCAGATGATTCATAGTAACAACAACAATAATTGCACATTCAGTAAGTGTATTTGGTGTCGAACGGGAAAGAAAACAATATTTTCTTACAAAGAAAAGGATGCGTTGACATGTAGGCTCGCATTTCTCTTTCGATTTTGCGACATGACGCCGTTTACGTGCCCTCTTCGTGTCCAGCGTCTCCCGCCGTTGCGGGTTACCTGAGTTACACACGTGAGGGGATCATTGTAAGCAGTGCTTAATTTGTGCCGGAGCAAGTCGGAGCGCGCTCCGGGACCTCTTTTGATCGGATCCGGGACCTATTTCAGCTGTTCCGGCACCTGTTTCATCTGCTCCGGGACCTTCCCTGTAGACGATGACATTTTGCGGGAATTCCCGTGGGTCACGTGATTCCCGCAGGGAATCCCACGGGATGGGAATCATTTTTTAATTAATCCCTTGATCGGGACGGGACGGGAAAAAAGCAACGGGAGTGGGCAGGAGCGGGAACAACATTAAAAGATGATCATTTTCAGCCGTGTTTAACAACCAGATGAACAGGTGCGTCCATATTTGTAGTCATCTCTTAGTGAGAGCCAACACTCTTGACCGCGCTAGCAACACAAAAGAACTACAACAGTGATTTGACTTCCTGTCAGCTGGGAGCGCGGCTGCGCATTTCTACCCTTCAAGCCAGCAGCGAGGAAACGTAATTTTGTGACATTCTGTAGTTTTTCAATCATTTCTGGAGTCGTGGCGAATCAAATCACCTTACCTGTCTGCTCCTGATAGGCGAATAAAGCGCTCGGATTCATGCTCTGGTCTTGCTACGTGCTTCAAGAGTAAAGTAAACAATGATGGAGGCAGAGAGCAGCTTTGGAGGAGAAACATCTAGCAGTGTGAACAACCTCTTTAAAAGAGCCCTAAAGACCTACCTTTTCAATAAAGCCTTAGGTTACCATATCGCCCAGCACTACACTGAAAGATCTCATCCAAACACATTGTACCCATGATGATCTACAGGTTGCTTCAAAAAATTTCAAAGTCCTTCCACTGTTGGTCAAGTTGTCATCTTTTCTTGTTAAAGGGTTTGGATCCCACCTCATCCTCAGGTTAAAAACCTCAGTGTAGATGCCTCTAGTGAGCGTGATTTCTGCTCCTTTATGGTGATCCAGATCATTTGGCTCGACTAAAACTGTCTTTGGACTACAAAAAGGCTCACTGAAGTTGCATTTCTACTTTTAAGATCAGGCCCCCAGAGCTAAGCTGTTTGCAACCAACACAGGCTTCCCATCCCAGAGCAGGGATGTATTTTATACATAGGCTGCATATACTATGGACAACTTGGTTCCGCCCTCTGCCGTTATATGAATTTGAAGCCGAATCTCTCTCTGCATTTACCTATCTTTCAGGTGTCAATCATAGAAAACATGAACCCCCAAATAACTTTTAAAAGTGGAGCTGTACAGGAAAAAAAAACAGTCTTACAGTAACTACATGTCAACATCGCAACCAGGGGGGAGAAAAAAAATTATATTCTCTGTAATAAATTTCTAAAGTTTGTCCACAGCTCCATAAGAATTGCTGGAGGAGGCAGGATTTATGACCTATACTGCAGCCCATCAACAGAGGGTGCTGTTTTCGCGGTGGCTTCACCCAGCGAAGAGGCAGATGGCGTCCATTCTATATACAGTCTATGGTTTTTTACTGTTAGCTGGGCTAGCATATTGTGCTAGTTTAACTCTTAACAGTATTGGTGAGGGGTTCACAAATGTTTAACCTATGTTTTAACAATGTCTTGTCTTGGTAAACCCGCACAGACTTAATGTCTACTTGTGAGTGAGGATTCATAAGTGATGCCACATTAAGTAATTGGAGAGGCCCTTGATTGCCTGGTCCTTGGTGATTCTTTGGCCTTTTGCTTCATTTGTTTGGTTTACTTCTCTCCACACCAGTTTTACTCATTTATAGCAGGTGTAGTTTTTATTTGAATTTATAGATTTGGCCTCCAAGCTGGAGTGCAAGCTCTCTTCATATGTGGAGAGTCAATCATTTCCTACCCTCTGCCCAACAGCCTCACATTGAGCAGAACAAAGCACTGCATGAGTGTACTCTCCACATGGGGTTATTGATTACTAGACGGGAAAGTCACCTTATTTTCAGAGGAATTTGGATGTTTGCATAGCTACATCTGCAGAGGATTTCTAGAGCATGTTCAAAAGTTTTGATAGAGCTTTTTTTTTTTTTTTTTTTTTTGGGAGGGCCAGATGGTTTCAATTTTTAGTTTATCACATTTGTTGCATTGTTGTTCCCTACATTCAGATGAGCTCTTCCATATGTGCTCTATTCTGCTGCTGCCACTGTCAGCCTGAACGTCCTTGATGCTACATATGAGAGGTCCCCTAATGCCAGTAGTTCTTTTGTCTTCATCCAGCCTTCAAAATAGGTTTCTCTGATTGAGATGAGATAGAATTTGGTTTCTTTTTTCATGCCAGACACAATCTCTGTCTCCCTGTTTTCCCTCTGGATCTGGAGAGAAAAGGAGAGCAAAGAAGATTTTAATTGCTCTCCTCTCATCCACATCTTCCCCACCACATTCATCAAGTCGTCTTTCCCTCCTTAGAAAGAGGCTGGAGGGTGTCGTAGAGCGAGGCAATGAGATTTTATTTTATTATTTGGGGGCAAGGGGGGATTCTCCCATGGGACGGGGCACATCTGGGGATGGGATGGTGATGGAGGATAAAGGGATGAGGCAGGGAGATTGGTGTTTGTGTGCGGACGTATGAAGCTGTCTGTGCCTTTGAGTGTGTGTCTGAGGATCTTCTGTGCGTGTCTCACAGAGGGAGGGGAGGGGAGGCAGACGAGAGAGGGCCTGAAATCCTTGGGGAGTCTGTGATTGGGAGGGAAATGGGGAATTGGGACTCAGGGAGTATGAAGTAGAGGTGGAGGAGGGAGAAGGAGATGGGTAAAAAAGGTAGGATGAAAAGGGCAAATTAAAGCCCTGCTGCAGCAAAAACTTGCAATTATATGACGGGAGAAAAGACAAGTGCATTTTTCAAAGTTTTTGGCAGGGAGCTCTGCCTCCAACAAATAGAGGCACGGTCCTTGAAAGGAGCGAAAAGTGGCTCTCTGTTGATCAGAGCCATTATTTGAAATCATCACAGTAAACCTGTACTTTTACTCCTTTTTAACGAAAGCAGAATCTGGCCACAACATGCTGACACATTTCCTCTAATAACAGGCTTCATCGCTGGATGGAGGCTTGCTTTTTCTGCCTTTCAAAACCAACATATTCATTGCTGCCAACTCCAGAAGGACATAATGATACACATGGATGTGCTTCAAGGAGGGTTCACGCTCGATAACGGTGGCATGCTTTTTTTGGTGCATGTCAGACCCTCACTGAAAAGTTTGCAGCTGCTGGACAGGAAGAGAGATAAAGTGGCTGTTTTTGATTTTTTTTTTTTTTTTTGGACTGAAAAGAAGAAAAAAATCATTTCTAAAACTGCAATAACATTACCTTATTGATGGGCAATACTGATACTGTTTATCAAGACCCTCTTCCCCAATCACTTCTCTTGTAGCAGTATTTCCACATTTAGTTCTTTGAGCCTCACTCAGTATGACGTTATCTTCACAGAGATAATTTTCATGGGCCTGCTTTGCATGTTGATATTAAGCGTATTAACTAGGGCTGTTGCGATTCGCCTATTCCACGATTCGATTCAACTTTCTATTCTACGGTCACGATTCGATTCGATTCTCGATTCGATATGACTTTTTTTTACCTCCTTTTTTCAGCATTGTGAGCTGTACGACCATTAATTAGGCCACTGTCTTGATTTGTAAAGAAAAACACTTTTTCTCAATCAGTCACTTTAATGACAAATGAGAAGAATTCAATGTTTAACATAAACAAACATTATAGAATAAATTATAAACTTAGGGTTTTATGCCCTAACAACTTCCATTTTCAAATTCTTCTTTAAGAAGATGTAACAGTTAGTTTTCAGGTAACAATCAATCAACCAATAATGTTGAACAACATGTAAGAAAAAAGGACCAACGAACAATGTTATTTGGCTACATTTGGCTCAAATTCAAATTCTTCCACAGTGAGTCCACTAGACCACTACTGTATTATTCACATTATTCTAACAGAGAGCTTTCCTTTTACAAACATGAAATGTGAATAATGCCAAAACAATTCCATTCATTCAAGCTCTATATCTATGTGCAAATTCTTCTTAAGGAAGATGAGCTTGTTCACATTTTCTGGAGAGAGGCAACTCCTCTCAGCTGTTATAAGGTCCCCTGCTGTTGAGAACACTCTTTCACTGGCAACACTGGTTGCTTGAACAGAAAGATAACGTTTGATTGAGGGCTGCGTCAGGTTTTGTGGTTCTTTCACATCTTTGTGGTGACGGCTGAGATGCTGTGCCATATTCGTTGTGTTGCTTGTGGAGGGATACGGCACTCGCATATAGCGGAGTCGACAAACAGTATGCGTCTTACTTACGACCCGTCGAGAGCCCTCACTCTCATAATGTACAGGGAAGCCAAAATATTTCCACACTTTAGACCTGTATGAAGCGGGAGGGTTTTCCAGCTCTTCTCTGGGGACAGGCTCATCCTCGGTGTCGTTGTTTACAGACGCAGTGGCCATGGTGAATCGAATTCACTGTGTATCTCTCTGTAATATATATCTGCGGTGACGTTCTGTTCGCTTTCGCTCTCATTCATTTCTGTTGTTACTCGAATCGCCTCTCCTTTTTTCTCTCTCCCATGTCGGAAGCATGCATGCGTCAAGGTAGGGTGTAGTGAGACAGTAGGAGCCCTAACGCAAATACTCCCCTCCCATTGGACACATAACTCATGTGACTCGTTCTCGTCCAATGGGACAGGAGTGTTTGTTTGGGATCTGACTGTCTGATGATAGCCTAGCCACAGCCAGCAGCCACACACACCCATAACAAAACCACATGGCTCGGAGCCTCGGACGTGCGCGGAAGTCCATCGCGATTCACGTTGTGATTTCGATACGTTAGATCGAATGGCTATTACGAGTCATTTCGATTAAAATCGTGAATCGCAACAGGCCTAGTATTAACCAAGTGATTTTGCACTATATGTTCTGTAGCTTTGCAATACCGTCAGTTATTTGTTGTTAAAAAAACATCTGATTTGGGGAAATAATGCATTTGTTATTGTTTTTGTCACAGGAAAACTCTCAGTTTCTTCTTTAGGAGTAATCAATAGTTGATTTTTTAATTACTTAAAAGAGGTTAGGGCTGCAGCTATCAAATATTTTACTTCTCAAATATTCCATTGATTTCTTATATAATCTGACCCAAATGGCTGACTAACACACAGTGAGAGTTCCTACATCACAAATCCAAGCTCAAGCCCCAGAGCCCTGCTATGAAGGCCAGATTCGGAGAATAAGGGAGGACAATTGCAGAACAAGCATGTGCGTTAGCATATTGCAATGCTCTAAGAAAGCTAATTTTGATATTAGGTTTCATTATGCCCCTAAAGACATCAGTGTTCGAAAGCTGAATAGCTCCTATGTTACCTGCTTCTTCTACTACACTGGCAATGTTAGGCTACAAGCTAACGTGAAGAGGAGTGTGCAGAGCAGCACTGTCTCCACCCATGACTCAGAGGCGAATTGCTAATGATCTACTGGAGCTCTACAGAAGAAAAGCCCCTCTCGTATTTCAAAACCGTGCTTACTCCTCCTTCTACCATGGTGACGTAATTCCTCAATCATTTTTTGTAAATGAGGTACTTAAGGTACCCGAGGAATTGTTTCAGCCCGAAAAGAGGTGACAGAAAACACTTAAAACTTTCGTCCCTATTTCAAAGGCAACTACCACTCTGTGCATTTTGCTGCAGTTTTTAGTTTAATTGTCAGTGTCTCCGCTGCTCAGAGCTGCACTTTGTGCACACTTTTTGTCTTAAGGACTGCAGAGTTTTAACATGACAATGCTTGTAAATACTCAATTGCAGTTGGTAGGATCTTCCCTCTATCTGCGCAGGGCTTTTTCACAGAAAAGGGTGATTTTACTCCAAATTAATGCACAAAGTCATATTGATTCGTATGCAAACAACATTAGAACATGAGTTGATATTTGCTGGGTAGTGCAGTTTTTGTAGCATCTAACAACGCACGATTGTTGAATTGTAAATAGTCTTTATGGCGCATTGCTCAGGTTTTGTGAGCAGAGAAGCTTTAGACTGTGCATCAGTCAAAAGTGAATCGAGAGACATTGAACTGTTGCACAACACAGTAACAGTATTTCTATATTTATTGATCATCAATGGAGGTATGTGGCCATGTAGAGGGCAGAATGAGAGGCTGGACAACGTGTGCATATTGCTAGCAGGACCATGATTGATGTTAGCATTAGTGCAGGAAATTGTGCATACACCATTTCATGGTTTTTGGGTGTACACACACTTTTGGTATCTTGTCTTGCACTGTTTTCAAGTGAGAGTCCTGGTGCCCGAGGCAGTCAGAGAAATTAGAGGAAATGGCAGATTAACAGCATTTCGCTCGAAAAAAAAAAGCTAAAGCAGACCTAACTCTGTAAAGTTTGAGTTTGGAGTTAGAAAACAGTCCTTAAAAAACAGTTACTCAAGGGTAAATTCAGTCGCCGGCTTGCGAGTCTTTTTGAATTGAAGGAGGCCATGACAAAGTGTCTGTACTTGATGATGTTTGTCATGGCCTTTCTAAAGGTCAGAGTAAAAGCCTTCACAGAGGGATGAGAATGAATGAATGGTACAAATGGGCATAACGGTGCATGTCTGGACGCCTGATGCAAGGCTGTTGCAAGTTCTGGACAATCTTTTTCTCTGGTATTTATGATGTTTCACTGGAGACTGGAGGTAAATAAGGAAGATGAGGAAAGAGCGTTGAGAAAGTGGTTCACGACCCTTTAAATGTCAATCCTGACTAATTGCCAAGTGTGCTTTCAGAAATGTACAAAATGTAAGTAGAGTTTTAGTCCATTGTACCCAATGAAATGATAGTTTGCTTAGAAAACAGAGAAAAGACTAAATGAAGTCAGAATAACCTAAACTCTGGGGTCTTAAATGGTCTTTTTATCACCAAACTGAAGGAGCTGATTGACTGACGGTGAATTTCAAATATACCTGATGCACCTTTTAACACTTCATATTATCATCTTAACAAAGGCTGAATAATTTCTGGGGTTCATTGAAATAGATATTTGAAAACAAAAAGGAGTAAGAAAAGAGGGGAAGGAAGGAGCAGCAGTGAAGAAGTGGGACTCCCAAAGGTGGCGTCCTGGATGTGTGGAGGCCTCAAAGGACCACGGATGATTGTCTGTGACCTTCCCCCTCTCCTTTTACTGTTCAAGGGCAAACTGTGTGTGTGTGTGTGTGAGAGTGTGTGTGTCTCCAACACTTCAACATTATATTCAAAGCGCTTGTTTAAGTGTGTGTGTATGTGTTCAAGGACTTTAAACACTGAGGCTGTCTGAGTGTGTGTGTGTGTGTGTGCAGTAGATTGTCTGACAAGAGCTAATATTTTACCCCTGCTAGATTGAAGAGGCACAAACCTCCTTGTTCAAACAGCTTCTGCTTCTCTTTGCTAACAACAAATCTTCTATATTTCAGTAAACCAATATCTTATGTATATTTCAGCAGCTGTGCCTCCAGGCGGATGACTCAGCAAGCGAGGAGGGGCAGAGCGAAACACAAATTAAAACACAGAGTGGAACAGTGAAGCAGCAGATTAGTCCTCATTATGCAGCATTAATCATCTTTAATCTGTTCTTAATCCAATATCTTTAGCTCACCTTATTAATGAGCCATACATCAACACTGGATTAGACTCGAAATACTGACTGCAGGAGGTGCTGGGAAAGAGAGGAATGGCAGGGAGAGTGGGTTAAGGAGGAGAAAACAAATAGAGGGAGAGGGATCAATGGAGAGAAACTTGGCAGGTTTGATACGGGTTAAAAGGTCTTCTCATTAGGGACCAGTCTGCTCCAAAAGAGCGCAGCTTTGATTAAGAAACATCTACGTCAGTGCAGGTACTTTGAGGATTTTATTCAGATGCTTTCTGCTCCAACTTGTACACACTTTCCGCAGATGTCCCTGTTTTTTATTACAGCAGGAATTACATTGATATATTGTTTTTAACAGTTGTGCTGAGGCGTTTACAGAGGGAAAAAAATAGGAATTGAAGATATAGTACAAGTCCTTTTTAAGTAAAATCTGGAGTAGTCTGCCATATGTCAAACTGTTTCTTTTTGGAAACTTTAAAAACTTGTTTAAAATATGTACTGACAAGCTCTGAAGTGCTGTGTAATGGGAAATGTCTGTCTTTATTCTATCTTTAAAAAACGTATCAGACAGTGGTTTGCATAATAGAGTAATGCTACAGTCCTCCTCTGTAGAAAATGCCACATCTTGCACTGGAGGTATCCTGAACTTTAAGATTTTTGTTGCTGCACCCTCAGTTGACAGTGGTTCAGATTAGGGGTGTCCCGATACAACTTTTTTACCTCCAATACGACACCGATATTGTAGCCCTCAGTATCGACCGATACTGATATTGATCTGATATTGGCACAAACTTGTGCATAACAAGTTTTGCACTCAGCTGCAACATCTTTTTTGGAATTTAACAAAAAATACTGCCACACAGTCGACATCAATCCTTCTCCTTGCTGCTTTATTTGTATGTTAGTACACACTGTTGTCGTGATCATGTTGGCTCTACAATGCTGGATCTGGGCGCTGCTAGATAGAGGTGCCAGAGCATAGTCTGGAATGGACTGCTTGTATCGGAGTGCTGATATCGGAGATTTTAGATTAAGGCTATTACAATCCAATAGTTGTTTATTGGCTGATATCTGCTCGATCTCCAATATCAATATCGTATTGGGACAGCCCTAGTTTAGATTACTAAGCACTGCCAGGCTTGTCATTGTTATTATTATTATTTTTTTAATTATCGATCAATAACAAAGAAGAGGGTGTAGGAGGACTTAAATGAGTAAGTGGGAAAAACTAACCAGACAGTATTTTTCAGGTCTGATCTCCAGGTCTGGAGCTGCAGCTGATGCTTGGACACAGTTTAGATGAAGTGTTTTTGCATTATTTAGAAATGCCTGGAATAAAAGCAAATATGAAGCACACTTTTATTTCATGATCGTTTAACAGTAAACGCTGGAAATGGTGGCAGAGTGGTGTTAGAGGACTCAGCCTCTTCACTCACTCATTTACTCAACACTGTTGTGCATTTCTATTACTCAACAGTAGTTTGTGGTCTGATGAGGGTGTAAAGATTCACTGGTCGATCACTGGAAAGGTAAAAATCAATCCCTGTCAGTTTATGCTTCATTTTCAAAGTTGTAAAACAGCTAACTAAGGTTTAGCTGTGAATATTCCAGGTTTGCTTAAATCTCACCAGACTCTAATGTCGTCATTTGGCAGCTGGATATGGTGAGAATTGAAACCATAAGTAAGAAACAACAGTTTCTGAAATCACCAAACGATGCACAGAGCACTACCTCTGCAACCAAGGATTTAATACAAGGAAAAACTTTGAACAAATAGCTTTTGTTTACAAGCTTTGTAAAAAAGCAAGTTCAATAACTGCAAGACAAACCTCCCCTGGTGGTGTTGAGGTGTGAATTCAACTGAGTAATCACTTTAGAAATGATGTTAATGAACTGAGGAGCTGCTTAAAGTCTTGGTTTTTCTGTAATCCTGTTCACCCCTTTTCTTTTGTAGATGAACAACAGATGAAAGTCGCTTCTCACAGTATTTCCTGGGCTCTTCTGCACTTCCTCTTTTGAACCTCCCACCTGGTTGTTCCTCTCCTCCCACCCGTGTGCTGTGCTCTCTGAGCTTGGCATCAAATACAGGTCAGGAAAATACCACACTGTCAGGGTGCAGGCTGCTGTTAGAAAATGATAATTCCTCATTGAAACACTTCAATGTGATTTTTCATGTTATTACTTTTTGTTTGTATTGCTGGTCCCCAAAATATGCTCCAATACTCAATGACAGTAATTGTGTTTCATTAAATACACTTTCATACAAACAGATAGACCTGTTCAATTACCTCTTTCTACAAAATTTGATGCCTTTGTATTTGAGCAATAAGAGAGGAAAAAAAAAAAAAACCATTATTAAATTACTTTTCCATTTGGCCACGAAAGGCTCTGAGGTTTTTTTTCACTGTTGTGAAAATCCAATAAATCTGTGTACTTTATAAAGCACACGTTTAAATACAAGTTTCTTTTCTGTATACATAACTGCATCAAAAGGTGTGTAATTATGTTTATATGCATGAGTAAAGCTCTGAGCACAATGACCAGGTATATGTGCTTGATAGCTGAAATTACAATGAACTGCTATAATCAG